AGATAGATAGATAGATAGATATATAGATAGATAGATAGATAGATAGATAGATAGATAGATAGATAGATAGATAGATAGATAGATAGATAGATAGATAGTGTATGCAGTCACAACATGACATCTCTTACTTCCGGTGATAAAGATAGACAGATAAAGATAAACAGATGCGATTCAAGAGAAGGAAAGATGGAAAAATAGATAAAAAATTTATATTAATTTTAAATTTCGAAATATTTTGTAATCTTGAATTCTGTATATTTGACAATGTCGTTGTGGTTGTAAGGAAAATTGTCTTAAAGATAAATCTTGATAAAAACAAAACCTTAAACTGTGAATCCAAGAGAAATCGGTTTTGTCTATGATTGAGAAAACTAGAGAAATCTAGAAACCTACCTTGAGAGGGGTTTAGATAATTTAAAAATCCAACACCTTCCGAACATATTTTATAGACTGAATTGAATCTAGATTTTATAGATGTATTAAATATCAATATTAAGTTTCACTCTGATGATAGTTTGAGACTGAGCTCCTATTAATCCTATTATTCTGAGAACTGTACATTTACCAGCAGTAGGTCACGCTCAACCAAGGTAAAAATAGGCAAATCAGAAAAAATATAGAAAATAAAGAATTTCCGATGTGCTTGCATGAAAATACTTTGTAGCGTTGTGAGGAAAATAAAAAAGACTTTGTCTACAGTAAAAATATAATGAATGGCAATTTGAAAAGCCAAAAGCAACGACATTTATTTAATGTTCAATTTAAAAAAAAAAATCTGATTTAGTTTAGTATGATACATTGTCAATATGAAACCTACCTGTCTCGCGGTCACTTTAAATTAAGAGCAGAGGGGTCGAAAGGTTCTTAGAAATACATTTTAAGGATTTAAGAGCCATGACATTTTATAGTCCGGACATTTCATAGTCCGGACATTTCATAGTCTAGACATTTCATTGATGGATATTTCATATTCAGGACATTTTAAAGTTAGGAAAAAGATTTTTGTCGGTTTATGAATATAAATTTGCTATGAAATATACTAAAGATACGTGAAATGTCTTATGTTAGGAAGTTTTATCTCCGAAATATCCGATATATGATATGTCCGAGCTAATATCATTTATCATTATGAAATGTTCCATATTTTGTAATCAATAAAATGCACATCAATGAAATTTCCTATGATTTAGTCATTTATGAAATATACTATGATTTAGTCATCTATGAAATTTCCTATGATTTAGTTATCTATTGAATGTCTTATGATTTATATATGAATAAAATGTACTATCATTTAGCTATGTATGAAATTTCCTATGATTTAGTTATCTATTGAATGTCCTATGATTTATATATGAATAAAATGTCCATTCATCTAGCTATGTATGAAATTTCCTATGATTTAGATATGTAAAAAGTGTCCTATGGTTTAGATATGTATGAATTGTCATGGTTTAGTTATCTATGAATTGTCCTAAGATTTAGTTATATGAAATGTCCTATGGTTTATTTATATTAGTTGACATAGAAACTCCGCTTTGATTGCAGTGTTGAGAGTAATTTGGTTTCGTTGAAACATACAACTGGAGATAGTTGCTTGGAGTATTGGCTTGATCGACTTATTGCTAGTGTCCGGTTGACATCCATAGCTAACCAGATCGCGCCCAGTAGTAGTGGCATTGCTAGATCACGGGATTGTAGCCGTGTGGATTGTGTCCCGTTGACATTGATCAATGAATTGCTAACGTGAGGTTTACACCGATAGATTACGAGATCGCGCGCAGTGGTAGTGGCATTGATTGTTGACGGGATTGTAGCCGTGTGTTGACATTGATAGTCAAGTGAATCTGAGTTGTACCTGGATAAATATGTTTCGAGAAATTGTTATGGAGCAGGCATTTACTACAGTAGGAGGAGGAGGGGGGTATATGGATGGGGAGTAGGTTGAGGGAGGTATATGGATGAGGAGTAGGAGGAGGGGGGTATATGGATGGGAAGAAGGAGGAGGGGGGTATATGGGGGGAAGTAGGAGGAAGAGGGAGGTATATGGATGGGAAGTAGGAGGAGGAGGGAGGTATATGAATGAGGAGTAGGAGGAGGAGGGGGTATATGGATGAGGAGTAGGAGGAGGGGGGTATATGGTTGAAGAGTAGGAGGAGGAGGTGGGTATATGGATAAGAAGTAGGAGGAGGAGGGAGGTAAATGGATGTAGGAGGTGGAGGGTATATGGATGGGAAGAATTAGAGGGGGTGTATGGACAGGGAGAAGGAGGAGGGAATAAAGTTTATGGATGTGGAGAAGAAGGGGGGCGGGGGTATATGGATGGAGAGTAAAGGAAGGGAGAGGGGTCGATAATGTATGTACTTTCCAACATGATTTGGATCACCCTGTATACTGTATATTTCTGGTTTGCATCTAATATTGAAACATCCCTTAATTGTATTGTGCTACACTTCTAAATTTGAATATGTCACGTCATATCTCGACCATGATGATTTGAAGAGCGAGGGGGGCATTTCCCCCCCATTGGTTTAATACACTCATCTTTGCACAAATAAATCATATTTTAGTCTCAAGCAATTGGTTTAATACACTCATCTTTGCACAAATAAATCATATTTAAGTCTCAAAACCTGCTTTTTAACAATAAGAGTAAAAAGAAGATAAAAAGATCTAAAACGCATTAGTAAAAGAACTTCCCACACAGGGGCGGCTTCAGATATATTTCAGGGAGGGGAATGTGAATAACAGTGCTGAAACTTTTTATTTCCCCCTGGAATTTTACACAATCAAACCCATGACAAGTTGGGGGTAGGGAGGGGAAATGCGTTACCAAATTTTTATATTTTTATAAAAATATTCATTTTGATTGATTAAGTGGTGGAGTGGCGGCGCAGGCAAAAAAAAAGAAGGTTTGATGGAAAAACATGAAGAAAAAATAAATGTTGATTTGTCTAACAATTTTACATTTTATAACTTTTTAAATTGAGATTAATTTTTATCATCCTACCTGTTAAGTTCATCAATAAAAGTTAGAATTGATTTCTCTCTTGTTTCTATGCTGGGCGATCCTGAGTTCAAGGGAATATATTTTCAAAAACACGATTCTCCCAAAATTGATAAATATTATTGTTTTCATATGATTTTTGCGTATTTATCATAAATTTTCCTGCCTAAATTGACTAGATATGATCCATGAGGAATAATTAGATGAGGTGGGAAGTTGTGCTGGACACACAATTCTTTAAACCTCGCCGCAACCTAAATTTATTTAATACTGATAAAACTCAATTTTTGTCTCCATTTTTATTTATTTTACATTTTTGCTTGTTGGAAATAAACATCAAAACGAGTAAACCAATTAGTCCCCTCTGCTGTCAGTGGTAATAAAACGGACAAAAATAGCCATATGACTCGCCTTCTACATAAATAAAATTTAGACTTTCGTATTTGAGCAATTTATACGTTGAAGCTTTCAAAACTTGTGTCGCCCATCTAGGGGTTTTATTCATTGGCTCACTGTTGTTTACAGAATACCTCTAAATCGAGTGGTTTAGCTGTCCAAGATCTCTGATTTCGTAGGAACAGTGCAAATGATTTTGCGTTCACGTCCAGTGCATTTTTTATTGCATTATCAACTCCACCGGCAGCTAAGCAAATATTAGTTTAAAAAATTAAAGATTTAATTGAAAAAACTTTAATTTTGAATTAAAACAAATTTGAAAAAAAATCATACGTAATCTGCTTCATGATGTTTCCCAGAACGGATCCATTAAATTGGAATGGATCCCAAGCTCTAGTAAAGTATAATTACCTGAGACATGACATCCAGCAAAATGTTGAAATGTTCGCTCAGCGACGGAACTTCCGTTAATTTGTGAACTTCCGGTTTTCCTGACATTTCCGGAAGAACTTCCGCCCAACTTAACTTCTTTGGTGATATTTTCAACAAGTGATGTCTTTTCTAACTTTGAATTTGATTTCTTCTGAGTTGGCTTTCTTTTGGTTTTCGTAGACTGGGCTTTCTGAATATTTAAAGATTAAATGAGGACAAACCTAATAATACCCCCCCCCCCCACATCGACCATGAGCAATCTCACAACAACCTTAAATCTTTAATAGAATATATAAAAAAATATTTATCTTCAGCCAAAATTTCAGGTTTATGTTGAAAATAATTTTGTATCTAAGAACATTTTTAAACTAAGTTCACCTTTAAATGAATACCTCCGTTGGTAGCGCTCTTCTCTGAGGAACCCCCAGTTGACCTGCACACAAACGGACTGGTAAAAAATGAGATTCTTTTTCATCAAATAAGGATAAAAGAAATCGTGGTAATTTCCTAGAAAACGATTTTTCGACCCGCCCCCCCCCCCCCCTATAAATTGTGTACATTGATCATGTGGGCGCAGCACCCAGCCCCTTTGCCTGTCATAGCCGCTGCGCTAGGCCACCTAGCCGCAGCGCTCGGCCCAGATATTGTCTTAACCTGGCCTATCACTAAAATAATAAAAAATAAATAATGGTCGTTTTACTGAAATCCTGTACATTAATAAGAAGGGGGGGGCCCAGGGGGGGTCCAAAAATCGTTCTCTAGGACAGACCCAACATCGTCAGATGCAGATGTATAAAAAACTCTTTACTATAATACAAAAGTGTTCTTGCTATAATATTTACCTTTCACTTTTCCTAGCGGGCATCTTCTGAATAGATGACAGACAAACATGTAAAAGTGACTTTAAATTCTGAAATGATTTGTTTCTGAAACATAATTCTAACTCATTTCTACACCTAATCTTGCTAATTAATTAATGGGAAAAACTTTATTTGTCAACAAAATTCTTGAAATCCAAAAACTTTAAACCAAACTCAAATGATGCTTTACTCACGAGGAATTTTACGGTATACATTTGTACGTGTTAGAGTCGTTAGAGGAGTTAGAGACGATTATGAAAAGAGTTATCGGTCGGTTTGTTTTGATAGAATATTTTCTGGCGCCACTTGCGCAAATTCTCCAATTTGCCGCTGCTTCCTTTAAAAGATATATTTACAGTCGTCTTTGAACGGTCTGAGTTCGAAATTTATGATTATAACGGGACTGTACAGGGTGTCCCACATCATATTAGACCGTCAACGGGTCTAAATTGCGATTTTCGGGACTAATAAGAAAATTTAATTCGAATAAATCAATTTGAAAAATAACATAAGGCTTATATAAGAATTTTCTTGCGGAAAATGATAAGTTCTTCGAGTATTAAGGGTTTATTTTGTCGTTAAAGATTAGAGATAATCTAATATGATATGGGACGCTCTGTAGTTTTTAACTACAGGGTGTCCCACGAAACATGACAATAGGAAGACGACTTGAATGTCGTCTTTGGTATTTGAATTTATTTGTGACATATAGTCTTCTATCTACTTTAACATGCATGATTCTGGAAACAATTATCACATAATTCTCCTAGCCCTGGCATTTCCAAAAAGTGGTCTGCGTTTTTTGTGCTTTCAATATATTACCAAAGATATAAAGAGTTTGGTTCAGATTTCAATTTTGTTAAATAAAAGCAAAATTGTCGAAATCTGAACGAAATTCTTCATATCTCGGGCAATATTGAAAGCACAAAAAAGGCAGACCACATTTTGGAAATGGCAGGACAAGGGAAATTTTGTGATTATTATCTCTAGAAATTTACTTCTATAATTAAGTTGACAAATAAACGCAGCAAATTATATCAAAAATCAAGACGACATTCAAGTTGTCCTGCATACTGTCATGTTTCGTGGGACACCCTGTATGACATTCATGACATAGGTCACGTACGTTAAGTAGTCACAGTGAATCCCAGATACATGAATACATGGACCGTCATAAGTTTTTCGATAATTCTAAAGAAACTTCTTTGCATTTTTGATTCAAGGTAAATTAATATAGCCCTGAAATATGCAGAATGCTATTTTATATTAATATTAAACTCATTTTCCCGCGGTATTTGACCTTAAACATGGTATGCGACATTAAAAAAACTCTTGCTATGTATTCATATATCTGGGATTCACTGTAATAGATAGGTAATAATTAAATGTATTGCAAAAATAAAATTGAGAAGAGAAGGAGACGATGGCAAAGAAAGGACAAGATGGAGTAGAGTAGGACCAGATGAAGTAGAGCATACGACGAGATGGAGTATTGTAGATCAAGATGGAGGAGAGTAGGACAAGATTAAGTATAGAGTTCAGGAAAAGATGCAGAGTAGGTCAAAATGGAGTATAGAATGACAATATAGAATATAGTAGGACCAGATTAAGTAGGAAAGGACAAGATAGAGTAGAGTAGGACTAGATTAAGTAGAAAGAAACAAGACGGAGTGGAGTAGGACAAGACGGAGTGGAGTAGGACAAGACGGAGTGGAGTAGGACAAGACGGAGTGGAGTAGGACAAGACGGAGTGGAGTAGGACAAGACCAAATCTGATTGGATAAGTTAGAAAAATTATTTTGAAGGAAAATGCTCGAAATTTTAATATAAGTTTGATAGATTTTTTTAGCTGAAGACAAATGTCATTTTTATATTTTATCGAATCAATGTTTTTAATGCTCTATGATGCCTTGTCATAAAGTTGTTACCACACATATGAATGATGAATATATTTAAAACTGAAAAAAAGAAGCGCCAAATAAAATGAACATTCAGCTCAAATTTAAATATTTCTACTTTAATGCAAGGTTATCAGACAAAATAGGCATTAGTGACAATTGGTGAGATATCATAGACGCGCTTTAAGAATCAATAAGCCATAGTGACTGCGATTTAAAATTTGCAAGCTCTCAAAAATCGATGAGAATTATGCCAATTACTTCAAAAAGACTACAGCTATAACAATTTTTTGCAATTCTAAGATGTACGTGTCTTGGGCTGCAAGTTAGAGCTAAATTAGTCTCGAGATTAACAAAAAGAGAGGATTAAGCATTGATCTCGATATCCACCATTCTAAAGTTTTCAGCTCAGGTTGCAAAGATATAGGGATTCACCATGAGATTGAAACTTTTATTATTCATAGAAATGAAAATTTAACGCCAACTTTTCTGCCACAATTTAATTTTCTACATTTTATAATCTTCTAATAGTTTGTTTATTAATATGATTGGGGACACATAATATATTTACTGGTCAATTTTAATTGATAAGTTATTTTTTTACAAGTTATTAGTAAAACTATTTGCTTTGTAACAACATCAAATAAACTAAATAATTGCTTAAATGACGTTTTCCTATTCCTCGGTTTTGGTTCTTACCGTACACAAAATTGATTCATCATCATGTCTTGAAACTTTAATTAATCTTTGAAATAAAAATTAACTTGCCATTTTGCTAAAATCTAAATTTTTACATTAAATAATCTTTTTAAAAATTTGTTAATTTACATGCAAGACACGTGGTACAATCTGAAAGTTTTTACAAAGGGTTTTATAGCATTTTTCAAAAGCATGTCCTAGCCTAGCCGCAGAGCTCTGTTCCAAGCATGTCCTAGCCGCAGCGCTCTGGTCCAAGCTTGTCATAGTCGCAGTGCTCTGGCCCAAGCATGTCGAATTGCTTCAGTGCTGTGGTCCAAGCATGTCATAGTCGCAGGACTCTGGTCCAAGCTTGTCATATTCGCAGCGCTCTGTTCCAAGCATGTCGTAGCTGCAAAGCTCTGGTCCAAGCATGTCATAGTTGCAGGACTTTGGTCCAAGCTTATCATAGTCGCAGCGCTTTGACCCAAGCATGTCGTAGCCGTAGTGCTCTGGTCCAAGCATGTCATAGTCACAGCGCTCTGGTCCAAGCATATCATAGTCGCAGTGCTCTGGTCCAAGCATGTCATAGTCCCAGTGCTCTGGTCCAAGCATGTCATAGTCGCAGCGCTCTGGTCCAAGCATGTCATAGTCGCAGCGCTCTGGTCCAAGCATGTAATAGCTGCAGCGCTCTGGTCCAAGCTTGTCATAGTCCCAGCGCTTTGGTACACGCATGTCATTGTCGCAGTGCTCTGGTCCAAGCATGTCATAGTCGCAGCGCTCTCTTCCAAGAATGTCCTAGCCGCAGCGCTCTGGTCCAAGCATGTCATAGTCGTAGAGCTCTGGTCTAATAATGTCATCGTCGCAGCGCTCTGTTCAAAGCATGTCATTGCCGAAATGCTCTGGTTCAAACATATCATAGTCACAGTGCTCTGGTCAAAGCAGGTCATAGTCGTAGCACTCTGGTCCAAGCATGTCATTGTCGCAGAGCTCTGGTCTAAGCATGGCATTGTCGCAGCGCCTTGGTCCAGTTTATCTTAGCCCTCGCACATGGCATAGAAAATGTCTAAACTTCTAAAAGGGTCCCGCAGAAATAATTTCATAGAGTGACTCAAAAGTACATTTTAAACCTTTGCCTGCTCAAGAATGAATGAAATAACCTTGATTTTCCATCTGAAAATTGATAACTTCTTGCATAGGTTTCTAGCAGTTAAAGATTGAACATGTTAGAATTGAAATTACGTCTATATAACGGAAAAAAATATTTTACATTTTTTTCACGGGCAACGCCGGGCTCTTCAGCTAGTATGTAATAAAAAATTTTGTTTTGAAAAAAGACCATTTTGAAAGTAGCTTCTTAGAAAGATGCAGTTAGAGAATGCCTTGGAAAATTTTTTACAGTGTCATTGTGAACATTTATCTAAACTTTGATAATCTGCTCTTCTTATTCCAGAGGTTATCTTCGAGGATATGGAAGTTGTCTTCGAGCCTTGACCAGTAGATTCAGGAAGAAGTCTCAGAATGTATTCGCTTCTATCTATTTCCTAAATAATGTCTTTCTTTTAAAACTTTGATAAATCAAGAGACGAAAAAGATAAAAAAAAGGAACTGAGTTTTTGCCACAATACGAAGTAAAATTTTCTCATCTTTGCAATCTAAATGGGGTAAACCTATGAAATTTCAAACTCAGACACGACGTAGGGATTATAGAAAATCAAAGTTTGTAACAAAAACTCAATTTCTTTGTGTGATTTTAACCATTTCATTTGTTTTTGATCCCGGGATTTCGTGAAAAGGGGTCACTGTACATATTAAACTTTACAATTCCTTTGATTTATGTTTATTGGACTATTATTCCTTTGATTTATGTTTATTGGACTATTATTCCTTTGATTTATGTTTATTGGACTATTATTCCTTTGATTTATGTTTATTGGACTATTATTCAAATTTATATTTACATTTACATACCTCAGATTTGATGTAGCACAATAGAATCAGTAAGCTGATAATCAGTCCAATCAGTCCTGACCGATATGAATATATTTTTTTTTCATTTCATCTGAACTAGATTATTAAAATCATACTTTTCTGAATGATGTGAGCTCATTATTCATTTGGATGATTTCATGATGGAAACACGTAAAACTTTTTTTTGTACATAAATAAATTTATAAATTAAAATGTGCTTGATTTTTGTAAGCTTGAATAAAAACATGATTTAATCTGCTGCCAAAAAAGTTGTTTAAGTTTTGTAAAGTGCCTCTACATCTGTAAAGTGAGTTAATTGAGATAATGGGGAAACATGGATTCGTTAAAAAATCGGTCGATTTACGCTAATCATTGACAAAAGGAACAAGGTTAAATTTATGCGGAATACTGGTAGAACTTTGCGATCTTCTACTCCTCTCATTTTCATTTCAGTGAGAACAGAAAACTTGTTTGATTGCATGTAAGGATTTTCTTTTTATTAAAGGTCTTAAGTAATAAAAGTTTGTGCATGAAAAAAGATAAAATAAAATTATCTTAATAATTGATGAATAATATAATTTTCCTAATGAAAGAATGATCCACACATACCCTTCCATCTTCTTGTTTAGCTATCCTATACAGTACAGTATAATCGTGCTGTACTGTACAGTACAAGCTAGAACAGTACAATTTTACCTGTACAACGTTCAAATATCTGCAACATTTAAGGTATAAGAATATGATTAAATATTGAAAAAAATATATATTGTTTATTAATGACGACTGAATAAAATTATTAGAAAAGCTTTTTTTTCAGAATCCAACCTTTTTATTTATCTAAAGTCTGTATATCATTCCTAAATTAAATATCTGAAATAATTAGAATTAGAAATTAAAGAGTTATATCTTAGAACTAGGGCTGGGAACGTTCAAACGGCATTAACGGAAAATTTTTAACAATCGTTAACGGTTCTAGCCGTTAATGGATATTGTTACAAAATTAACGGTGTAAAAAATTTCGATAACGGTTAACGGTATATTAAAGTATTTACGGCGTTGAAAAAATGTCCAATCTATGAAATGTCCTAGATATGAAATTTAGTTTAAAAAAACATATTTTAACGAACAACACTTTTATCATAAACTTTGTTGTTCAAAAATTAACGATCGAATTATTATTACAGTTTCTAATAATGATCACGATTTTCATTAGTTCACTGTTTATGTTTCCCACATTTCTACAAATATTTTCACCTGAAAGTGTTTAAATATACTGCGAGCAGGAGCTTAGAAACAGCTGTGCTCTTAATTTTATATTTATTAAATCAGGGGAAACATGAATTAGGGGCAAAATATTTTAATTCTGAAAAATTTCTGTCAAAAAAAATTAGTCGCCTTTTTCCCAACAGAAGAGAATGTTTCCAAGGTCTAAAAAATACTGAAATAATAAGGAAAACATTGACAAAAATATTTGAGAAAGCACAGTGGTTCTTCAGGGTTTATTTTTACTTTAATAACACCCCCCCCCATCCGTCTCAAAAAAGTATTGTCCCTAAAGATGAAATTTTTATTTTGCATAGATTTAATATTTCCAGATAGTGTAAAAAATCTGTGAGATTTTTTTCGGATATTAAATAGATATGTGCACAAGAGACATCATTAAAATATTTGAAAAATATTGATCTTTTTGTTTCTCCATTTTACTCTTCATAATACTAGATTTTCTTCAATACCGCAAATTATCTAGGGTTCCACGAATTTGAAAACTATAATAAACGCATTCAAAAAAATTTTTTTCGTCAAACATTTAAAAAAAAATTTATGTTTTTTTTCTTTTCACCCTGTAGAGAACTGTGTGAGATATTTTGAAGCTCTGAACGTATCCTGTATTTTAATGACCGGTTTAACTTTCATAAATGTCAGAATATTTTCTTATTTCAAGTCCACATTCTGCCAGAGAAGTGATTTTTAAACTCAAAAATCAAAATAAATCGTTAAATTTGATTTTACGACATCGACAATATTGGATTTATGTTGGTACAATAAGTTATTCATGTTAGTTTTGCAAATCTACAAGAGTTTTACAAAATCCTCCAAAATTCATAAGAATAACCTTTCAATATTAAGCTAACTTTTCTCTTTATAAAATCATTAAAATGTATAAATAAATTCCAATATATTGATCCAGTATATGTTTAATATTTGTAAATGTAATGTATATGTATACCGACCAATATTGAGTGAAATTTCCGTTTGATTTATACTTTTTTAATTTAAATTTTAAAAGATGGTGAAAAGCTCCTGCAGAGAAATATAAATATATAATAATTGAAAACTCATAAATTTCGTTCTAATAGAAAAGAGTAGAATGGCGTTGAAACATTACTATTATATTCTCCGTATTTAACGCATACGAATTTTCATAATTTGAATAAACATTTAAATGCGTATTCATATATTTAAATTATTCCTCCACCCCCCCCCCCCGGACTTTTTCTCGGGAAAAGGGTTTTAATCTTTTCTTTTGTATTTTTTATCACTGAAAAAGTGTTGGGTGAAAGGGATTGTAAGCGTAATTTCAAGTGATCCTCTATACAAAGATGGCAATGCCCGATTTACAACGGTAGCTTTGTCTGATCAAGTATGAATTAGATATCTATGTTTTGTTTAAATAAACTGTTTATTTTCATTTGCGGATTCTCTGCAAAAATGAATCGCACATTTCTCGATTATGAGAAGCAATGGAGAACATCACATAAATAAAAACTTTTCGAGTCAGAAAAACGACGTTATCTTTCATATTTTTGATCAGATTAAGGTTTCAAGGGTATCGTTGTAAATCAGACATTGCCATCTTTGCATGGAGGGTCATATATGAAATTACGGTTACAGTCCCTTTAAGTTGGATGAGAGTAAAATGATTTAGAATATGTCGATAATCATAAAAAAAATCTTGATATTACTCAATAAAGTATTCAAATCATTGAATAAAATACAAATAAAAATCTGAATATACGCTTTGCGTAATTTTATGGTAGGCGGGAGGGGGTTAGGTGTAGAAAAGATNCATAACCAGACCAAACTATACCAAACATAAACCCACATATATACCGCACCAAACTTTACCAAACCAAACCTAACCAGACCAAACTCTAAGAAACCAAACCTTACAGCACCAAACCTTACCAAACCAAACCTAACCAGAGCTGACAACTTATGAATGGAATATCCTTAATCCCGATCGGTTAATTAATCTGGAGATTAATAACACGAGGAGAAAAAGCATTATTTAATATGAAGCACTAATCTCGATATCCACCATTCTAAAGTTTTCAGCTCAGACCAAATTATACCAAACCAAACCAAACTTCAAGAAACCAAACCTTACCAAACCAAACCTATCCACACCAAACTTCATCAAATCAAACCTAATCACACCAAACTATACCAAACCAAACTCTCCTGTCTTCTGTCTCCTGTAAGACTAATGGTTGGTTAAACAAAAATGTTGCCTTTTCCCTTAATTAAGGGAAATATTTGCCCGACCCATTTTTAAGGACATTTTTCAGACATTTTAAGGACATCTCTAAGAATTGATGGTTTATGTCTTGATATGCGTTAACAGGAGTAAAGGGGGTGAAGTGGGGGGGGGGGGGGGGGCAATTTTGCAGTGTAAAAGTGACCAAATTTAAACATCTATTGATGGGATCAGTAATATGATATTCAAGGTTTACACGCTGATGCAACCTTATTCTCTCAAAAAATCTAAATTTTGAAAATACATACAAATCGTTTTCCCTTCTTATTTTATCATATTTAAATTTTGTTCTTTGTCGAGAATAAGATCATTCTGTTGGTTTTTACATTTTTTATATCTATTTATCTGCTTATTCTTCAAAATCTATTATTTCGTTTTTATATCTGTTGATCTGTCTATCTGTTGATCTGTCTATTGGTTTAGCTGTCTATCTATTGATCTGTATATTTGTTTAGTTGTCTATCTGTTTAGCTGTCTATCTATTGATCTGCCTATCTGTTGATCTGTCTATCTGTTGATCTGTCTATCTGTTGATCAGCCTATCTGTTGATCTGTATATCTGTTGATCAGTCTATCTGTTGATATGTCTATCTGTTGATATGTCTATTTGTTGATATGTCTATCTGTTGATATGTCTATCTTTCAATCTGTTTTGATAAATATTTTAAATTATCTGTCTATCTGCCTGTCCCTTGCGAGCATCGGCTTTATTTCCGGTTAAATCTTCTTCCTCCACTGTTCTGCCTTCCATGCTCTACTCCACAGATTAATAAAAATACGAGATAGGACACTGGATATCGTCTTTTCAAGATTTTATTTATGAAATTTTGTTCGCATAGAACAGGCTCTCTACAGAGAGAGAGCCTGTTCTACGCCGACTACGCGTAACCCCTTTGGGATTCTGCCTCTGGGTTATTGTGAACGAAACACACAAAAATCTTGGAAAGACGACATTTAGTGTCCTATCTGTTGTTTTAATTAATCTATGCTCTACTCATTCTATTTCCATAAAAAATTTCCACAATAATTCCAATGATAAATACTTATTTTAGAAAAATATCTGCGGTAGAGGTTGAACTAGCGGTTGAGATCTAGTCAAGACTCGAAAACGTAGTTCAGAATAAGAAATAGAATTAATTAAAAATTTGTCAAACCTCTAAATAGTTTTTTTAGGTAAGTAGTTTTTCCTTCAACCACTGGGGTTCAGGGTTTTACTTATATGTATTTGTTTGCTATTAAAATGTGTGTTATAAGCGGTTGAGGACAAAAAAATTTTATAAAAAATGTATTATAAAACTTATATTATAAAATTATAAAATTATAAAAAATGTGTAGGTATAAGTTAAAAAAGTAAATAAAGATTTATATCTCCAGAGGTTCAAGGCAAAAGAGCTTTACAAAAATCTGTGACTCCAGCTGTTGAAACAAAAATAGTAGCATTAAAGTAAATCTTTCCTCTGTCTCCATTCTTCACTTTAATCTTCCCTTTGTCTCCATTATTCACTCTATTCTTCACTATGTCTC